TTTTTTTTTTTTTTTTTTTTTAATGATTTTGAGTTTGTTCCACATTGTTCTCCCACTCTATCCAGTATCTCCTACATAGATCCTTCTACAAGTGGTTGACGTTGGTAGCCGGGCAGTATGTAGTTCTGGTCTCATAGTCATATAGGCTGAGGATCACGTGATGTACCAGTCGCTTGGACTAATTGTTTCCATGTGTCTTTGTTTTTTTTCATTCTTCTTTGCTCTAGATGAGGAGAGACCCATCGTTCCATCTAGATGGCTGCTTGGAAGCTTTTAAGATCCCAGTCACTACTCACCAAAGTAGGATGTGGAACAATGTTTTTGTGTAGTATGTTATGCCAGTTGAGCTTGATGTCCCCTGGGACCATGGTCCCAAGCTCACAGTTCCAACTACTTGCTCCCTTTGGGTAGCTGGCTGTGGCCAAGAAGTGACTACAACTTTGTCCCTTCTCAGCTCTAATATATCCTTAGAAACTCTTACAGAACGTACAAATACACTTGTAGCAACGTTGTCTGCCAACCTTATACGTGGTCGTGGGCACACTCCCCCCTGCTTCGGCATACATAATAGTTCAATCTGTCCACCCATCCATCTACCCGTAGATCATTGTTTGCCATCACTGACACTGCAGTGTCAGTGTCTCCTTTCCAGTGTAAGAATGCTATGTGAATTCAGACTGCTGATCAGGAGACAGCAGTGTCCATCTGTCCCCTGCCCTGAGGCCCTGTCCTCCAGGAGCCAAGGGTTGGGAAGACTTGCTGGTGCACAGTTACTGGTACAGTATTGTATGTGCGAAAGGGTTCATCTTTGTTATCTGTACCTTCTATGCACCTCTCTGTGTCTTCCTCTTCCTCAGTGTGAAACTGAGGCCTGTTTTTAAGAAGAAACTATGTGCTAAGTTCCAAGAGTGGTTGCAGATAATGGAGAAAGTGCCAGACAGTAAAAAGACAGCCAGAATAAAAAAAGTAGAGACTATTATGGACAGTCACCCCTGGCACTGGGATCCTTTTTCCCATTGTGATAGTTGGAGCTGTGTGTCAACTTGGCTGGACCACAATTCTGTGTGGTTTGAGCTGTTGTGGTGTGGTTGTTCCCATGATGGGATCAGATGACTATGTTTTGAGCAGCCAATCTGTTGAAAAGGAGTTTCCCTAGGGGTGTGGCCTGCTTCCAATATATCTGTGGACATCCTGGGAGAGGAAACATTCTCTGTGGATTGGGATTCTGTTGTGCTGCCTACAACTCTCCTTGAGTGAACTATCCACCATTCGGCCTGGAGATCTTGCATTCATCATTTGTTGGAGTCGAACAGCCAGTGTACTGCCTGCCAGCTCTGAGCTCCTTAGCGCCTGTGGATGCAAGAGTTGGAAAAAGCCTCCATTTTGATGTGGAAAAGCTTCCAGCTTGACATTTGATCCAGGAACTTTGGACTTGTCAGCTTATAAGCTTTACTGGTTTTGTTTCTCTGGAGAACCCAGTCTAACACATTTGGTATCGAGAGTGGTTCTAGAGAGACAAAATCATAAGGATAGATTTCCTAAATTGGTTCTCCAGTTTGATTAATCTTAAAGACACTAGTGACCCTGCCTCTGTTAGTAAAGGGGGCCCTGCTAATCTGTGGCGTGAGGTGGCAACATTAATACATGAAATAGCACCACCAATAGATCAAGTACTTGTGAGAAGTGATGCTCTGGGTGATCAGATATTTGATACTTTTCTGCAATTTTGTCAGCATGAGGAGTATAAGGAAGCTGGTTGGTTGGTCCTACTTACACTAGACAAAGTGAAAGAGTGAGATGAGCTCAGAGCTGCTGAGTCTTGGCTTACGCGCGACATAAAAGACCTCAGTGCTTCCAGTTGTGCTCTGAAAGAATGTCTTATATCTTCTAGTAACAGAGCAGATACTGCTGAAAACCAAATCCAGACTCTTATTGTAAGGGTGGCTGAATTACAACGCCAATTAAATTGCCAACCCAGAATGGTGTCTGAAGTTAAAGTGAGGTCATTGATTGGGGAAAAAAATGGGATCCGGAAACCTGGAATGGGGACATAATGGGCAGATGGTTAGGAAGACCAGGATCCGGAGCCTGTAAAT